GGACCACAATAAAGGATACTGCAAAAAATCTTCTCTGAGGTTTTTTCTCTACTTGTTTTTAAGCACGAGAGAAACACTCCCTGGAATTCCCTCCCCCCCCTCCCCAGATCACACAGTGATGTTGCTTTCATCTTATCCCAAGGCCATAAAGTGGTACCCGGATTAGTGCTCTCCCCCACCTTATTTCAACACTTTCCAAAGGCAGTTTTGAAGGTAAAGGTAGAGGTTTCCCTGTCCAGTCATGTCCAACTCTAGATGAGTGTGATGCTCATCGCTCAGTTGCTCGGCCGAGGGAGCCAGCATTGTCCAAAGACGTTTTCCATGCTCATGTGGCCAGCATGGCTATATGCCAAAAACGCACAGAACGCTCTTACCTTCCCACTGAATTGGTACCTATTAATCTACTTGCCTTTCCATGCATCCAAACGGCCAAAGCAGCAGCAGGTGGGGCGAATAATAGGCGCTCACCCTGGCACAGGGTCCCCCGGCACTTGGGTCTAGAACCTGGGCCGTCATCTCTCCAGCCGACAAGCTCAGGGTCCTTAACCTCTTAGCTATCCCAAACCCCCCCCCCCCGCTTTTTTTAAAGTTTTAAAGTGTGCAAAATCTAAGCAGCATCATTAGGATATCCATTGCATCAGCAACAAAGTGACAAAGCCCCTATCAACGATCCGACTAACTAACCCAACAAAACTAGACATTTCTAGGAACTTCCAAGATCCCCAAAGCAAAGCTTTATTGAGATCATCATGTTGCCACTGAAGAAAACCAGCTCTAACTTTTCCCATTTGATCCTGTACAGTTCAAGAATACATGTCTCCCCTCCTCCCATGGTGCAGGTCACAATGCCCAATTATGAATCGCCCTTTTGTTTTGAGAAGCATCCATGGTTTGGCTGACACCTGCAGTAGTGTCCTTGGCTCTCACGATTGGAGCCTGCAGCCTCTGCATTCCATCTCACCCTTCCACATTCTTTGGCAAGTTGAAGAACAATAATATTCACAAGAAGCATAAGTGTTTTCAATCTTTACAGCCCCAGTTTCATGCTTTGAGGCTGCCTTTGAAAGATGTTAGACTTCAAAGTACGGGACTTCCCAATTAATCACCTATTGAAGAAAATTCGGATAACCAGTTCTGGATGTAAAGACAGAAATGCTTATTGGGTGTTTCTGGCTGACATGGCCATACCCATTCTCTCTGGCCCAGTCTGCCTCCTCCATTGCTACACTATTTAGGTGCTGCCTCTCTGGGAATTTGACACAGCAGGGGTCATGTGGACACACTCCGATGTGAGATTCTAGAAAGAGGGCAGAGAAGAGCTAAATGTCTATGGAGATCCTCAGTCATCCAGGACAGAGTTGTGCCAAAGGTGCAACTATTCCTCACACAGGCCAAATGCTCTTGCTAGAGGAAAACTTTCTCTTCCCCTGCCCCCCACCTGTCTTTCAGACATGACCAGGGTCAAACCCAGTTGATCTGGGTTTCATCTGGTCAAAGCCCAGTTGACATGATAGTAGTTGCCCAAAAAAAGCACTACGCTGCATTAACAGAGGGATAGAATGAAAATCTTGTGAATTGTTAACACCACTTTATAATGTCTCAGTAAGACTTGGAATACTGCACCCAGTTTTGGGTGCCACAGTATAAAAAAGATGTTGACACTCCAGAAAGAGTGCAGAGAAGAGCAACAAAGATGGTTAGGAAGCTGGAGGCGAAAACATACGAATAATAATTGCAGTAATTGGGTAGTTCTAGTTTAATGAAAAGAAGGTCTAGGTGAGAAAATAGAGTTCCAATATTTGAGGCGCTCCTACAAAGAGCAAAATGCCTCAAGCTATTTCCCAAAGCACCCAAAGGCAAGAGGAGAAACAATGGATGGAAACTAACTAAGGAGAGAAGCAACCTGGAATTAAAAAGAAATTTCCTAATGATGAGAGCAAGGAACCCCAAAGCCTGCCCCATCCTGGGAGGCTTTCAAAAGGAGACTGAAATGGTATACAGGATCTCCTGCTTAAGCAGGGAGTTGGAGTAGAAGACTTCCAAGAAGGAAACAAAAAGACTAGAATGTATCTTCAGCAGCAAACAGCTAAACAAGCATGGATTAACATCATATAAATACGCAAAAACAATTCCCTAGTCAAGGAACTACCAAGGAGACCACCACACACCTCCCAGCAATACGGGCGGGGCAAACTTTTGTATATAAGCAGGGGACAAACACTATATACCACATTAGCATTGATGACACTTAATTGGGTAATGAGAAATCTGAAGGCACACAACCAAGATCAGAAAGCACTTAAGGCTTCCACTGTTTTAGCTGTGAAAACAGGAATGGCAGCCGGGAGAAGCGTTTGCAGCTTTATTTCATTATTTTGCCATCGCATTGCTTACCCTGAAAAGGAAAACCCTGCAACAATATACCGTAGTAGCATTCTTGCTAATGCTTTTGCACGCTTTTCTTCTTCAGATACTTGGAGATACTTATCTCTCACTATTATTATTTTGCCTGCTTCAAGTAGATATACATTTTTGAGCTGGGCTTTCTCCCCAACTCCTTCTACTTCTTTTAACCAGAAGAGGGAGCTCCAACATAAATGTTTCTTTAAAATTAAATTCAAACCTCCAATCTCCTTTTTTTTCACAATTAACCATTAAGAATCAATACTAACAATTCAATTAATATAAACAATGAAGATGAGGGAATACAAAGTAAAATACAAATGTCAAGAGATATAGAAATCCCAACAAAATTATAAATTTCCAATATAACACAATTATATCTGAATATATTATGCTGCTTTAACAGATGAAAAACATGAATATTAAGAACTGCAATCATAACAGATGTCAATCATTTTTGTCCTACAAGCCCTTGTCCCCTTGGAATGGACTGCAAATATATCTCTATTTCAACAAGGTTCCTATATTTACACCTCTATAATTTCATCTCTTTTAGCTGTGATAGTTAATTTCTGTATTGTTGTAACCAACGGAAAATCATAAAACAGAAATCCAACCTAGAACTAAGGAGGCATTTCCTGACTGTGAGAACAAAAGTTGCAGATGATAACCAAGTTGGCAGGAATAGCCAACACTCTAGAAGATGGGCTCAGAAGGATCTTGACAGACTTGAACACTGGGCCCTATCTAACAAAATGAATTTTAATGGTGAGAAAAGCAAGGCTCTCTATTTAAGCAAGAAAAACCAAATGCACAGGTATAGAATAGGTGGTACATGGCTCAATAGTAGTAACTGTGAGAGAGATGAGAGTCCGAGTGCACAATCTCTTAAGGAGCCAGCAGTGTGCTGCAGTTGCCAAAAAAGTCAATACATTAGTACCACTTTATAAGGCCCTGGAAAGACCACACTTGGAATACCGCATCCAGTTTTGGTTGCCACGCAGAAAAGATGTTGAGACTCTGGAAAAAGTGCAGAAAAGAGCAACAAAGATAATTAGGAGACTGGAGGACAAAACCTACGAAGAACGGCTGCAGGAAAGGTCTGGTCTTGTGAAAAGGGATGGGGTGACATGATAGCAGTCTCCCAATATTTGAGGGGGTGTCACAAAAAAGAGGAGGGGTCAAGCGATTCTCCCAAATACCCAAGGGCAAGACACGAAGCCACCTGGAATTAAGGAGAAATTTCCCGGCAGAACAATTAACCAGTTAGAATGGCTTCCCTCCAGAAGTTGTGGGTGCCCCATCACTGCCGGCTTTCATGAAGAGACCGGACAGCCACTTGTCTGGAATAGCAATAGCCCTTAAGACCGATGTACCGCTTCACAGTGCATTTACACAGTGCATCTCTAAGCGGTTTACAGCGTCAGCAGCCTATTGTCCCCCAAGAGTTTTGGGTCCTCCTTTTACTCACCTCGGAAGGACTGAAGGCCTTGAGCCTGGTGAGATTCGAGCTGCCAAATTGCAGGCAGCCAACAGTCAGCAGAAGTGGCCTGCAGCACAGCCCTCTAACCACCGAGGAACGGTATGGGTCTCCTGCCTAAGCAGGGGGTTGGACTAGAAGACCTCCAAGGCCCCTTCCAACTGCTACTCTGATGCCGTCTAGAGCCCTCTTGACATGAGAGGTTATGCCATCCAGGATTACGCTCTGGTGAGTGGAACCTGCCTGAATTAAACCAGGTACAGCGTTTCTCGATTCGGGCAACTTTTAAGGCACGTGGACTTCAACTCCCAGGATTCCCCTGGCCAGCTGCAGGCGCTGAAGTTGCCAACGTGGCTCAGAACAGGCATCTCCAACCTTGGCTGCTTTAAGACCTGTGGACTTCAACTCCCAGAATTCCTCAGCCAGTTTTGTTAGGTTCCAAGGCAAAGTCCTAGAGCGGTCCTGTGTAAAGACTCAGAGCACCTCAGCATGGCTCCCGTTTGTAGCTCAGCCCACTGAGTGAACACCGCCGCGGTTTATTCGAGGCCCCCTGCCGCAGCCCTCCGGGACAACTAGGCCTCCCGCCAGAGACGTTTCCCCTGCGAGAGACGCCCCCCGCCTCGAAAGAAACCGCCAACAACTGACTGCCAACAACGCTCCAGGCCGAGCGATTCCTGTCTCTGGAGAGAATAGGCCCCGCCCTTGCCGCTCTGCGATTGGCCACGGCTTCCTGCGCTGCACCGCGATTGGCCCCCTCTAGCCTCCGCTGAACGACTCTGCGGAGACGCGGCACGCTGGCAATTGGGCGAGAAGGGCTTTAATTGACGGCGCCCCGCAGAGGCCCTCCCACCGAGGTGCTCTCGCGGGAAGTCAGCGGGAAGAGGGCGGAGCCGCTTTCCTCAGGGCCGAGCTGGCTGGACCGGGCAGAGTGGCCAGTGGGGCCGGAGGCGGCGGGGCGCGTCCGTTCTCTCCCTCTCGTCTGCCTCCCAGCGGGAGGGGCTGTGGCTCGTCTCTGGGAAGGGGGGGGCGGGGGTCCGCGTTGCTACGGAGACGGAGGCGCGCCCGCTGCTCCCGGCCTGGCGGGGCCTACCCCGAGAGGCTCGCGCGGGCGGCGGGACGGAGCGGCCCTTCCGATGCGGAGAGAGCCGGCGGCCGTGGTGCTCCTGCTCCGCCCGGGCCCCATCCGACTCTCCGGTCTGGCGCCTCCTTGGCGCCGGCGGACGAAGTTCCCTTAAGCCCGTCCCGACGGCGGGGAGCGGCTGAGCAACTCGGAGCAAGGTCAGCCTGCGAGTTCCCGAAGGGCCGGGGCGTCGCTCGGAGCCTCCGTCCCCTCAGAAGGAGGCCTGCGGGCAGCCGCGCCGGGGCCCTCCCGGGGTGCGAGGCCCTGGGTGCCCGCAGCCGCTTCTTCGCCCCCGGGAGGGCCAAGGAGGCCCGGCGTGGAGCGACTCATAAAAAAAAAAAAACACGTTATTTGGGGAACCGCAAAGATCTGGAAATGGCTCCGGTCCTGAAATGTGAAATTAAAAATGTTGCCTTTTCAAACTCCAATATATTATATTACATATAATAACTGCAGCAAGAATAGCCTTTGCCCAGAATTGGAAAAAATGACAGCATTCCCTCCGATATTGTGATAATAAAAGAGGTTTAATGGATAGGCTTTCAATGGGAATGAAGGAGAGAGAAGAGAAATCTGAAATTTATGGTAGAATTGGCTGCAAGGGAGACACAAAATAGATGAAACGGAAGGTTACGGTGTGAGGAAATAATTTGGTATGAACAGGTATAACTATATGTATAAATATGTAGATAACATAATATGAAAATATGACATAAAATAATAGTAATATTTAGTAATCTTAGTATGTCAAAGTGAGCAAACACAGATATGCTGCAATGAATGGAAATATGTTTTTAATTGTTTTTTTTAACTGTAGAATTTGTTTAATAAAGTTATTTAAGTATTAAAAGATGTTGCCTTTTCTCTCCCCCCCTCCCCCCCCCCCCCAATGTGTCCCCAGGTTCTCTGAAGGCTTCCAGGGCTGTGCCGGCATGGCTTCGTCCTCCCAGGAGAGAAGGGAGTTCCTAGGGAAGACCTGCTGGGCTCTGGCCCAAAGACATCCGATTTGCCGCCTTCTTATGGCTGCTCCTGCCTTGTGACCAATTAAAACATCCCGAATTTTAGGTGGTGAGTAGCATGGATCAGCATGATGCCGCTTAAAATTAAAGAACAAGAAGATATTAAAGAACAAGAATATTATATGATATGGGATGCATTTTATAAATGATTGGAAAACAAAGGAAAGGAATGAATGTAAAAGAAGATGTAATGAGAATACTATAACGATAAGAGAGAAAAAGGATGAAATTTTCAATATAAATGTAACCTTAATAGCATGAAATGTATATCAGATATGAATATGTGCACAAGATCTATGTACCCTGTTAAGACACCGTTGAAAAGATGGTCATTTTGTAAAAGAAAATTAAAGTTTTAAAAATAATAATTAAAAAAAGCATGATGCCATTTAGATCAGGGGTCTCCAGCCTTGTCAATTTTAAGCCTGGAGGACTTCAACGCCCAGAATTCTGGGATTTGAAGTCCTCCAGGCTTAAAGTTGACAAGGCTGGAGACCCCTGATTTAGAGGAACGTCCTCACTACTTTGAGACCGTCTTCAGCTGGGCCCCGTGTGCGCATGGGATGCTTCCTGATATCTGCCCCCCCACACACACACACGGGGCAAAGGGCCTCCCTGCAATGTTCATGGGTTGTGATGGAAGGGCTGTCATTGGCTTCTGAAGCCAGTTCGCGTCTCTGGAGCAATGCACCTGTCCCCTGGCTGTTTGGGCCTTGGCTCTTTACAGATGCCCTGATGGCCTATTTCGTCTCCTGCTGCTTAGCACCTGTTGCTTTTGTGCCTAGATTTGTGTCCTGTTTTTTGAGGGCGAGTGCCTTTCCCTAGATTGTAAGTGACACTTAGCGCATACAGTCCAGGAGCTCTTGGTTGGATGGATGAGCCGTCCCTTTGATCTGTAGTCCTGGGACTGTTAATTGTCAGGTGTCTCATGTCTTAATGGACGAGGAACGCCTTCCCCCCCCCCCCCCCCTTGCCACAATGTCCTTTCTTCCTTCCCTCTGGGAGGCCTTGGCTCCTCTTGCTAATGACTGGAGCCAGTGTATTGCCTGTCTCGTCTCTCACGCAAGGCCCTGTGATGAAGGATTTACAGCTCTTAATGAAGGAGTGAAGGCTACTTGAGACAGTGGACGGACTCTGTCGTAGGAGTGGGTGGGCTTTACCGGTTCTTTACTGGTACCATCTGTTGGAACTTTATGAGCAGGCACATCTATTGCATACAACAGAGTGGCTAAACTCTCTCAGCAAGCTTCCATCCATTCTTGCATATTTTCCTTAGTTTTCAGGTGAGCTAGTTTGAAATATTCTGCTACACTTTTATGCTCGTTTTCAGGAGGAAAGCTATGCATTGTTGGTACTATAGAGCATGGGTGTCAAACTGGCAGTGTCACGTTGCTATCGCATGTTGTACGCAACGTTTTCTACTTTCACGGAGCTGTGGTGGGCATGGCCTGTGTGTGATGCATCAGGCCCGTGGGCTGCCAGTTTGCTATAGAGGAAACTGAGGCTGCAGTAGCTTCTTGAGGTTTGTGTGAATGATGCAGCCTTGGCAAATAGCTGCAGAGACAGAATCTGCTACTATTGGAGAAAGGTTTTTGTGCCAGCTGCTTCCATAGTGCAGTTTGTTTATTTGTAGAACGTAAATTGCAAAGGCCTATAGTGGTTAGCAGCTGGCTGATAGCCCAGAAACATTCAGAGCTGGTCTAGTAGTGCTTGGCAGTAATTTGTGGAAAATAGTTATCCCTGAGTTTATTATCACATAGATCCTTTGAGGATGATACAGTATTTCCATTTTACTATGTTGATTCTGTCCATTTACTCCCCCAAGGTTAGGGTAAGATATTTTTCCTAGCATAAACAATGTTTGTCCTCTGGAATTGTCAGGGATGCCAGCTTGATGTTACTTGGTATAGGAGGAAAATTAAGAGGGAGCAGTGGCATCTCTGTTTCACACAAATGTTATTCTTTCTACATGAAACATGGACATTGATGGCTCACTATCTTTCACAGCATAGATCACGGGTTGAAGTCCTCCAGGCTTAAAGTTGCCACGGTTGGAGACCCCTGCCCTATACCACATGACAATTCTCATATGGACCCATGTTATTTTTTGAGCATCGTTTTCCCAGTGATTCAGTCAAGGCACCAATTTCTTATAAAAACGCGTGTGGGTGCCCCTTATCCATGCTTGATTTTGATCTTTTGAAATTCCTTGTCAAAAGTGCATATTTTTTATTTGTATTTGACCCGAGTTCCAGGAAATACCATTCAGCCTTACAGCATAGCATAACATGTATACAATATTAATTTCATGTAAAATGAAATTCTCCTTCACATAAAGCTACCCATTATTTTAAATTCTGTTATAACATCCATTGAAGCATTTGACCTGTTGCCACATGCTCAAAACTATAGCAATTATATGTCTGAATAAATGAGGTTTTAAACACATTCTTCCCAGTCTTTGTGGGGTGCAGCCCATCTCTTGCCTGAAGCCCTTCTTGTAGGTCATGTAAATTATGGCCTAGAAATCCAGACTCCTCTCCATGGCACCATCCCTTGAGCCCAGCAGTTTACAATCGTCCTTTGCCCTGTAGGGTGTTGACCTGTAGCCGGCAGTATTGAAGGCTCCCTGTGCATCCTGTTGGTTTGCTTTGATGCCTAGTTGCTCATGTCCAGGCTCTTGGTTGTATTGTTCATCCCAACATGGAACAGGAGGAAGAGATAATAATCAGCTTGATGGCTTGATTATTTTAGTAAACGTCTGGCAAATCTCTCGTCTTACCTGTTTACCTTCCTCACTAGATTATCAGGTCTACGGGTTGCTGTTTCTGTTCCTCTGAGAAGCGAGTTACCTGTTACCAACAATGTCATTCACTCGTTCATTTTTCTTAGCTGCCCATCTCCCTCCGAGAGGGGATACTGGAACACAGGAAGAAGACCCTTCTGATGTTGGCGTGTTTTATTTCAGGGGGAGATTTTGAAAATGATGGTTCAGCTCCAGGGGTTGTGGGAACAGTTTGCTCATTTTTTTTCCTTACAAGTAACATGTGACTAGCAGTCTTACTCTTGAGGTTCATTTTCATCTTCTTTGTGTTCAAGGGCTGCTTTTAGACTCTGTCACTTCTCTTTTAGCAGTCTGATTAATTGCATTGGATGCAGGTATAATTTAAACTCTTCCTGGGCAGGAATACAAACATGGCACAGACTTTGAAAAAATATTGTCGGTATAACTTGGTTATTGTCCATGTAATGATGCTCCCAGTAAATTCAAGAATGGTTAGTCTTTGGCTCCCTCTTGTGGCTAATGTTGAAATTAATACTGTAGCCTTTGGTGCCCTTTGTTCTTTTTTTTTAAATTTAAAATATATTTTTGTTTAAAAATGAAAAAAAAAATTTTTTAAAAAATTTCAAAAATTAAAAATGCTGAATTTTTTTTTGCAAATTAAATCTGTTTTTTCAAGCTGAATGAAAATATTTATTATAAGTATTGTTTACTTATTTAAAAATAATTTTAAAAATTGTAAATGATTTTTTGAAATTTTTTTTTTAAATTAAAAATTCTGTAAAAATTACTGTTTGAAAAAAAAGTAGGATCTACAGGCATTAGCTGTAATGAAGTTAATTTTCCATTCCTTGAAAGAAATGGGAAGAAAGTTAAGTCCAAGCTTCTCTCTCTCTCTCTTTTTTTAATTCGAGTTCCAAACTTTACTCCGAGTAACAAAAGGGTGGTGTGCATTGTTCCTTGTCCCACAAAGCCTGTTTAGGACTGCCCCTAGGATAGATTGTGAGTGGGGTGACGACCTCCTCTTCCTCCTCCTGCCTTGGGAGGCTATCACACATAACCTGACTTCCCACAGGCAAGCTTTTTTTAGGCACAGTGTTCAGTACATCAAGATTCAGCTCATAAATTTATTCTTTTTCACGTAAATGTTCTCAGTAAATTCAAGGCAATCAGCAGTTTTACTTTTGTGGCAAGGACTTAATTTTTGCAACCTTCGGAGAAAAATTAGTCTCAAAAACTGTATAAGTCCCTAAAGAGTAGGCCAAGAAATTGAGAGGAAAAGGGACAAAAAGGGGGAGGAAAAATAATGGAAAAATGAATGGAAAAAATAACTCTGAGCTTCTTTAAAAAATTCTGTTAAAATTAGTTATTGTTCCCACTTGTGGCCAATGTGTAAAAAAGGAACAGAAAAAGTAGAATAGCTTCTCTAACTCTGTGTGTTTGTCATGATTTCCTCCTCACCATTTTTTTCACCAGAGAAATTCCTCATTGTTTTTATTCCTCCTTTTTTCCACTGTACGTTATTTTTATATTATTTTTCATGGATTCTTAGGTAGTTTAGATTTCACCAATCCCTGCAAGATCCTACTATGAGAAACAATATAAAGTAGTATTACTGTTCTCTCTGCCCTGAAGCTGCCGGTGGAAAACAGTGCATGTGCTCTTTTCCCCAAGAGGGATTCCTAAAACCATCAGCTGGGGCTTGGAACTGTTCGGTTTGCATATTGCTCTTATGTACCCAATCTGCTCTTTTAATCGAACTGAATTTCTGTTTTAGGTATGGTATGAATATGCGTTGCTTGGCAGCTCGGGTGAACTATAAGACTTTGATTGTCATCTGCATTTTCTTCTCCTTGGTCACCATCCTGCTGTGGAACCGGTGCACCAGTGGAAAAACAGCACCTCTCCCGCATGACTCGAGCGGCAGCGTGAAAGCAGATGGCACCGAGAAGCGAGTGGCTGCCTCGGAGAGCAGCCAGTGTGTGAACAGAGCAGCTAAGCCGCAGAGTGAGGAAGCAT